TTAACATACTCGCCAATGTCTTTATACTCCATATCCAAATATTTGTTTCTTATCTCATAGGGAGTGGGAGGTTGTACTCCAACACCGGCCTGTTGACATCCCACTACCATATTTTTGAAATGATGTGATGAAGCCTTCGCAGCAGGGACATTTTCATAGATAAAGAACTTGCTAATTAGACGCCCCATTCCCTCCTTCACATTACCTCCCTTGAAATAACTCCAAACACTCTTTTGACGTGCGTTGGATGACTTATATAAACTTGGGGCTATTGGTGGTGTTGGTTGTGATTCTCTAAGACTGCCTCCCCGTCTCATTTGTGCACCACCACTTGTCCCGGAACCTTGTCCCCTATTAGGAATTTTATGAAGGTGTTCTCTTTCCCATGCTGACTGTTTGGAGGCACGTAATGCTTGTTTCAAACTGCGTCGTTCTTCAGGTCCCATGTCATCATCACATTCGTCCTCATCGTCATCCTCATCACTGTCAACCGCTTGGCCATAGACTTCTCCCCGTAGCCCAGCTCAAATATTTTCCATTCCTTGTGTCATCTTTTCCTTCTGCTGTTTTTTATTTTTTAATAATGTGCTGATGAATGCCTTCACTTCTGGGGGGACATTATCGCATCGTTGGACATTTTTTGATGGATCTAATCCACTAAGATGATTACTTCAGTCGTGTCACTCCGCCACTCTTCATTACCCGACCACAATATTTGCAAATTGTGCCATGTTTGTTTCCGTCTATTGGGTCTCCATGTTCCCAAGCTGGATCACGTTTACTTGACATCTTAAACGTACCTATATTTATTTTTCATTAAAATTAGACAATTATTTTTTGATAAAAATAAGAGAACCTAAATAATAAAGTTATTCTACAGAAGAATTAAATACAAAGTAAAGAAAATGATTGTAAAAAGTTAAGTAATTATACAAATAATATGGAATAATAAAACCTAATATTAATGAATAATAATCCAATTTGATAATAATTCAATTTAATGAATAATAATCCAATTTGATAAAAAAAAAATCCTAATATAAAACATGGTGATGAATAATAATCCAATTTGATAATAATAATCCAATTTGATAATAATCCAATTTAATGAATAATCCACCAATTTGATAAAAAAAATTATCCTAAATTAAAACATGGTGATGAATCATAATCCAATTTGATAATAATAATCCAATTTGATAATAATAATCCAATTTGATAATAATCCAATTTAATGAATAATCCACCAATTTGATAAAAAAAATTATCCTAATATAAAACATGGTGATGAATAATAATCCAATTTGATAATAATCCAATTTAATGAATAATCCACCAATTTGATAAAAAAAAATTATCCTAAATTAAAACATGGTGATGAATAAATAATCCAATTTGATAATAATAATCCAATTTGATAATAATCCAATTTAATGAATAATCCACCAATTTGATAAAAAATTTATCCTAATATAAAACATGGTGATGAATAATAATCCAATTTGATAATAATCCAATTTAATGAATAATCCACCAATTTGATAAAAAAAATTATCCTAAATTAAAACATGGTGATGAATAATAATCCAATTTGATAATAATAATCCAATTTGATAATAATAATCCAATTTAATGAATAATCCACCAATTTGATAAAAAAATTATCCTAATATAAAACATGGTGATGAATAATAATCCAATTTGATAATAATCCAATTTAATGAATAATCCACCAATTTGATAAAAAAATTATCCTAATATAAAAAGAATAATAATCCAATTTGATAATAAAAAACCTAATATAAAAGAATAATAATCCAATTTGATAATAAAAAAATCTAATATTAAAGAATAATAATCCAATTTGATAATAAAAAAACCTAATATTAATGAATAATAATCCAATTTGATAATGAAGATGGTAAGGGAAATAAAATAATAAATAATATTAAACATATTAAAATTATCCTAGGGAATAATTATACAACATTACTTAATTACTTAAAACAATTAATATTAACATTACTTAATTACTTACAAAAATTAACATAATTAACATGCAAGTAATTACTTAAAAAAATTAACATACGAGTGCACACAAATTTATTTGTTTTTGTATAAATTACAATAATATAAATTTAAGTTTGTAAACTGACCTTAAATATGGAAGCCTTTGTGTTGCTTGGCGTTGGAAAGGATCTGGAATGGTTTTTGAAAATGGTATGGGAAGAAGAATGTAAGTTAAAATTCGGTGAATGCCTCTGATGATGAAAGAATGTAAGTATATAACAGACATTGACACTGTTTTACATGTGAAAGACATTGACACTGTTTTTTTGCATATGAAAGACTGTCACACGCTTTCATTATTAAAGCAGTAGTAGTATTTGTTGTGCATGTTCTGAAATTGCAAAAAGTTCTTTGGATCATTGTATCAGAGAGGTAGACATAGGTTTGGAATGATTTGGTTTTCAATAATTTGGAGCATTGGATGCTTTTTTTTCTAACATGCCATCACTCAGACAGTCAAAAAGACTGAATAACTCACACACTCCACCACACACACACTTCGAGACCCCCCCCCCACCACACCACCACACGCACACCACACACGTACTACCCTATTCCCGAATCCTCTCAGTCTCTCTCGAATCCTCTCAGTCTCTCTCTTCTCTCTTCTCTCTCTGAGGTCGGTCTGAGCCTTCGCTCTCACCGAGAAGTTCTCAGTCTTCTCCCTCCCTTCCCCCTTCTCCACTTCTTCCACACACACACACACAGAGACATCATCACCGAGAAGTTCTCAGTCCTCGTCCGTGTCTCCGTGTCTCCGTGTCTCCCTGTCTCCCTCTGCTCCTCCCATCTCACCCGCCCTAAACCCAGCCGTCGACACCACTCCTTAACCGTCCGTGTCTCCGTGTCTCCCTGTCTCCCTCTGTCTCCGTAGTCCAAGCCGTCGACACCACTGAGGACCACGAACTTGTCCCAGCCGTCTTGGATTCGTGAGGAAGACGATGTTCCAGGCTCCTACTTCTCTTCTTCCCCTGTATTACTTTAAATTTTTGTAAAGATTTCAATTTTTCTGCATGTTGCACACCTTTGTTGTACTGAAATTGATTTTAGGGATTTAGGAATTAGGGTTCTATTTTTGTACAGATTGCGATTTATCTGCATGTTGCTTGATTTTTGTACTGAAATAGATTTTAGGGATTTAGGAATTAGGGATTCAATTCAGTTGCTTTGAATCCGAATTTGGGGATTTAGGGATCGGTTCATTTGCTTTGATTTTTGTACTCAAATCGTTCTTCTCGGCTTGTAAACATGTTGATTTTTGTAATGAAATCGTTCTTGTCGGAATCCTGTATTGTAGATTCAGTTCATTAGGCTGGAAATTAGCATTTGGGGATTTAGGGTTTCAGATTATTTGCTCCGGCCGTGTTCTCCGACGTGTCCATACCAAATATCGCGATAGTTTCGAAAATATCGCGATATTATCGATATTATCGATAATATCGCGATATTATGCCGAAAACTAGTTGGATAGTTACTAAAATATCGGGGTCCCCAAAAAACGATAATATCGGCGATATTTCGCCGATATTATCGATATTTTCTACTGTGATCTCCGCTACACCCATTTTGTGTACGTGTTGATGCTTCACCGCCCAACATTCTGTGCCATACAGCATCGCCGGCCTTATTGCCGTCCTATAAAATTTTCCCTTGAGCTTCAGTGGCATACGGCGGTCACACAACACGCCGGATGCACTCTTCCACTTCATCCATCCAGCTTGTATTCTATGGTTGAGATCTCCATCTAATTCTCCGTTCTTTTGCAAGATAGATCCTAGGTAACGAAAACGGTCGCTCTTTGGTATTTCTTGATCTCCGATCCTCACCCCTAACTCGTTTTGGCCTCCATTTGCACTGAACTTGCACTCCATATATTCTGTCTTTGATCGACTTAGGCGAAGACCTTTAGATTCCAACACTTCTCTCCAAAGGTTAAGCTTTGCATTTACCCCTTCTTGAGTTTCATCTATCAACACTATATCGTCTGCGAAAAGCATACACCAAGGAATATCATCTTGAATATGTCCTGTTAACTCATCCATTACCAACGCAAAAAGGTAAGGACTTAAGGATGAGCCTTGATGTAATCCTACAGTTATGGGAAAGCTTTCGGTTTGTCCTTCATGAGTTCTTACGGCAGTCTTTGCTCCTTCATACATATCCTGTATAGCTTGGATATATGCTACTCGTACTCCTTTCTTCTCTAAAATCCTCCAAAGAATGTCTCTTGGGACCCTATCATACGCTTTTTCCAAATCTATAAAGACCATGTGTAAATCCTTTTTCCCATCTCTATATCTTTCCATCAATCTTCGTAAGAGATAGATTGCCTCCATGGTTGAGCGCCCTGGCATGAACCCGAATTGGTTGTCCGAAACCCGTGTCTCTTGCCTCAATCTATGCTCAATGACTCTCTCCCAGAGCTTCATTGTATGACTCATTAGCTTAATACCCCTATAGTTCATGCAATTTTTGTACATCGCCCTTATTCTTGTAGATAGGCACCAAAGTGCTCGTTCGCCACTCATTTGGCATCTTCTTCGTTTTTCAAAATCCTATTGAAAAGGTCAGTGAGCCATGTTATACCTGTCTCTCCCAAAACTTTCCCACACTTCGATTGGTATATCGTCTGGGCCTACTGCTTTTCTATGCTTCATCTTCTTCAAAGCTACAACCACTTCTTCCTTCCGGATTCTACGATAAAAAGAGTAGTTTCTACACTCTTCTGAGTTACTCAACTCCCCTAAAGAAGCACTCCTTTCATGTCCTTCATTGAAAAGATTATGAAAATAACCTTTCCATCTGTCTTTAACCGCGTTCTCTGTAGCAAGAACCTTTCCATCCTCATCCTTGATGCACCTCACTTGGTTTAGGTCCCTTGTCTTCTTTTCCCTTGCTCTGGCTAGTTTATAGATATCCAACTCTCCAACCTGGAAAAAAACAGAAGTAAGGGCCATGCTATATCCAAAAAGGTCAAATGAAAAATCTCCAAGTGCAGCTATCAGAACCCCTACTGCAGTCAATAATACTGAAAGACACACCTGAAACATGAAAGAGAACTGAGTATTGTCAAATCTAAAACATGAAAGAGAAGAAAATAAAATTAAATGCAACTCAGTATTGTCAAATTTAGTGGTAACGAAGATGCTTCTTTCCAGGACTTTAGCATTATATTTCTCCTCTTCAATGAATAAGTTTTGACAGGTGACTCTTTAAAATCAAGCATCCTTTATCTACATTTATAAGGCCAACTTATTTACGAAGGAAAGTATCATTATGTCACAAGACATTTCGTTCCAAATATTATGCCAAATACAGATGATTTATCTTTGTTATCACCAAGCAGCAAGTGAAAGCTATCATCACAGAGACCCTTCTCAACATAAATAATTATATTTTGAAAAGCTGAGTGCATTAGCGAACGGTTCTGGTAAGCAATGAGAAAATGACTTGCCAGTAATAATGTGAATCCAACACAAGATGTTACTTATTCTCATCCAACGTAACTTAGCTTATGATTGCAGACCACTTAATCAGAACCAAAAGAAAGCACATCAAAGACTAATGTAATCTAGCTTCCATTTTAAACAACATTATAGTGTTGGTCAATCATGTAGGTTTTCTTATGGAACTTTTACATCATACGTTTCAATGACTAAATAGTATCTTTCTCATATTCCAGTTGGGGAAAGAACAAGTTTAGGTTTAACTTACACTAACACTAAACAAAAAAAGAAGCATAACAAATCCTATCAAATGTATAAGCAAACGTTAAGTTTAATAAGACAGACATCATCAAACAATGTACAAGCTGATCAAATAAAGACAAGACATTACCTGTATTGGGGGTCTCCCCTTCCCTGAGAAGAATCCAGCTACAAGCACAGCAAGCGGTGTGAGCCTTTTGATTGCAATATACATGGGAATGTTAACTCCCTTTAACTGGCCAAAGCAAACGCCACATTAGCATTATAGAAAAGCGACACAGGGAGAAGTTTTTTCGCGGTGGACATTTCTAGTCCTCTTGATCTCGTGTATCCCAATCTTCGACCAACATGTATAAGCAAAGCAGTTGCCAATTGCTAAAACAATAAGGAAACGAAAGAAGGCTCATTATGCACAACCAAGCAGAAAACACTTCCAAATTACCAAGACAATAAAGAAATACAAGACGGGTCATTGCGAACAATCAAGCAAGGGTATCTTAATCTCATGAATTAAAAGAACGATATTCGAATTGTTAAAGTAATACCTGCATTGTGAGAAGGGTCATTGAATGTGAGTACTCCATAATAACTGCTTTATTGATAAAAACCATTGCCATGGAAGCAGCCCCATACGACAAGGCCGCAGACAAACTGCATTCACAGTTCAAACACAACAAGACTAAGAAAATCAATCAACAATTTTAGATTCAAAACGTCGAAAAGTCGCAACATTTATACATTTTAACATAGTTAACATGTTCTTTGCTTACATTTGTAATCATCAAGCTAAAATCTTTGTCAAAACAACATAAACCCAAAAGAAAACACTTGGGACAGACAGAAAGACAACCTCAAAAACGAGCTAGCTTCTGTCTCAATACGTTTCTCCATGGCCATATCTAAGCTTTCAAACACAAATCCTTTGTTTTGGATCAGTGTCAAATGAGCTCAGTGGGAGCTATTGTTTGACCAAACCTACATGATAAATTTTTCTTGTTTGACCAAAAATGTTCAAATCGATGAAAACCCAAATCTCGAAATCAGGGAATTGGATTCGATTGGACCCAGGACCGATGAACGACGAAACCGATCCAATCGAGAGTAAATTGCATCGAATGAAACCTGGTTCTGAGACAGGAAGTCCAGAAAGTGGAGTGAGGAGAGTGTGGAGGGGGAGAGAGAGAGAGTAACGCTGTAACGGAAAGCCGGAAGGGGAGGAAGGGGAATGTGAAAAATGGGAAGCGAGAAATGGGAAATGTGAAAGATTGGAGCATGGCAGGGAAGCTCTGCGTTTTCAAACTTTACGTTTTTATATTTTCGGTTGCGACTTCCGAAGAGAAAAATTAAACCTTTTTCTTCGTCGGAAAATTTAAAATCTAATATCGGAATCGTAAATTTTTTTGGTCGGAAAATTAATACGTTTTTGTAAGTTATAATTTTTCTTGTTCCCTTATTAGGAAAACACATCTTCACATGAGAAAAATTAACGATTAGAAAATATGCAATATCACAATTAAAAGCTTAATTAAAATGTTTTTCTAAAGTTGTTTGGGACAATATTTTAGTTTTTAGAGTTGATGCAACATTTTTGAGCTTGCGAGTAAGTAAACCATGAACACCTTTCTGTTGAAGCCAAAATGTGGGAGGTCCTGAGTTCGATGCTCTGAGCTAGTGAGTCTGCTTGACTGTTGCCACGGGACATGGTGAAATTCCCCATAGCCTTTATGGGTGCGGAAGTGGCGGATAACCGTAACTTGCCATTAGTTGTCCTCATTTTAACAAGAGAAAATATTTCTCTCTTCTCAAGCATGTTTATAACTTCTTGACATGAGCTTTGGTGTTTTTACAATGTCCTTCTCAGGAATCCTATTTAGGAAATAAACGTTCATTAAGTATAAATGAGTCCAGGAAAAATATTATTCTATTAACTACACCTCTATTAAGTAATAACTTCACTAAATTCATAGAATTGGTTTGGTCCCAACTTTATAACTTTATAAAGGTTTTACTGTATTAATAACATGTAGAGGAGAGGGAGGGGCGAGGGGTTTAGGGGTGCAATAGTTTTTTCCTCTCCCAAGAAGAGTAGGTGTCATACATGTGCTTACTGACGAAAAAGTAGTCTCGCCTAATTTTGCTCTACTTTTTCTCCCTATATGAGATTGAGAATTTATAATGTAACCAATTATGTGTCATTTTACATTGTAAAATGATAGATTGTCATAGTGAATATAGTATGATTTTGGGAAATACCCAAAAATGGGACAATTTCTTAATCTTGGAATAGAAATAGGACATTTCAAATATGCACACGACATTTTGAAATGACCAAATTGTCCTTCCATATGAATGGGTTATCCAGAAATTCCAGCCTTCATTTCTCATTTTGTAGAGAGAGAAATAGAGAGGAGAAAGAGAGAAAATCTCTCTCGACCAATTCCAATTCGAAGAACCCTAACCCACCCATCTTTTTCATCCAAGAGCTATCTCTCTAACCCACCCATCTTCTTCATCCAAGCTCTCTCTCTCCTTTCTCTATATTTCGAATATGCACAAGAGCTCTCTCTAATCCACCCATCTTCTTTGATTTTTACGTTTTCATTTGTAGGTTTTGAGAACTGGGTTTACTTAATTTTGCTTTTTGATTGATGGATTTTTGGAGTTGAAGTGATTGGTTTGATGTTTCTTGAAGGAGACCCAAATCCTTCAATTTTTAACTTTTTATTTTTATCATTTCTCTTATTTATATGTGGGTTTTCATTTCTTCTATCTTCTCCCTCCTTCTGCTCCCCCTCTCGATCCAAATTTACTAGCACTAAAATAGAGTTTTGCTTTTGCTGCAATTAAATAAAAAAATGTATTAAAGGTCAGTTGCCTTTTGAAGAAGAGATGAATTTGAGGAAAAAAAGAGAAATTAGAGTGGAGAGAAGGAAGAGAGAAGGATATGGACGAAATTGTTTCACGTAATCGTTCGCTCTCTTTGTATTAAGCTCGCTTATACACTGTATGTACATGACATGCACATGTTATGCTCACAGATCTAAGCTTAACCCAAAAACCCATAGCTCACATCTCTCTCTTTGAAATAAAAAAAAATGACGCAATCAGATAAATGACCGAATTGAAGATTCATTAATTTGAATTTGGTATCAAATTTGACCGGGTTCAAATATTTCAAGGATTTGAAATTTGCAGTTTGAATGGGCACGAAAGAACCCAACTAAATCAAAGAAAATTGTTTCACGAACTTGTTCGCTTTTTTCTTATTTGCAGGGCTTGCCTCTAAATAAAAAGAAAAAGTAGTAAACTATGTTAACGCGAAGAGTATCAAAGATGTAAATATGCACCATATACACTATATGCACACCATATGCACATAATATGTACAGTACTTGTACATAATATGCACATAGCGAGAGAAACTTTAACGGCAACATATTGGCATAGTGAATACAATTAACACATAATTGTTACGTATATAAGGTTACATTGATAGTTTGAAAAGTCTTGTTACGTATATCAACCACCACTTAATCGTGCATGTGAAAAACATGATACTCGTTATCGTTATCTCATGGACACGCATAACCCTTAACGTCCTCTAAGCTTTTTCTTAATTTTGTTTTTCGCCAAGGGTAACTAGGTTGTGGTCATACTTGCTAAATTCCGAGGCACAACATACGTGCATCATAACTAGTGAACATTCTCTGCTTCTCATATTAAGATGTAGCCATGCACACCATATGCACACGACATGCACATTGGAAAATTTTTCACAAATTTCTGCAATTGAACACTTGAACCAGAAATTGTTCCATCCCAATTTTCTAGCACGTCAAAACTTGAAATTTATTCCACAACCCATATGCCCCAACATGAAACACAAACCCGAATTTAACTTCTAAGTATTAATTATCTTACAAACAACTCATTTATTCCATAAATCATTGATGAAGCAACTTGGAACTAAGCACCCTACCTTACTATGCCTGTCGAAGCTATAGTCACTCGAAAAAATGGAACTTTTCAGTCAAAATAGAAAATATGGTACAAAACCCATCTCACTCTTCTCACCTCTCTCTCGCATCTCTTTGTTCGAAATCAGATGTATGAGGACAACCTAAAACCCAACTCACTCTTCTCGCCTCTCTTTGGACTTCCCTATCTTTGAAATCAAAGCTCAAAGATCAAAGCTAAACCCAGAGCTCAGAGAGCTATCTCAACATCTCTCTTGACATCTCTCTTTTCCAAATGAGAACAATGATGCAATGGGGTGATGATTTTTAGCATTTATATGTGGGTAAATTTTAGTAATTTCGATTTTGTGCATGGTACGCATGACTTGTGTGTGGCCGGTTTGTCCTATTTATATCCCAATATTAAGAAATTGTCCCATTTTGGCGTATTTCCCTATGATTTTTCAACTCCCACCATGTCACAAGTTCAAACTCCTCCCCCACCACCCCCTGCCTAAAAGGATACCCGAATTCAAATATTCTCCTTGAAGCTTAAGGGGGGTGTATTGTATATGAAATTTGATGGACTTTACTTGTTTCAGAAATCTAGATATATTCAATACAACTTTTAAGGAGTCAATAAATAAAGGTTTTTGTTTTTTACTTCTAAAAAATCTACTAAAATCTTGTGGTATTCAATCACAACTTTTTGCGAGCCTATAAAAGTCTATGCATATTCAAAATTTCATTGATTTAAAGGATTTTAAAATGTCATGGACTTGGGTGCTTTTATAGTAGGGTTATTGTCATATCAAATTCTATCCATGCCCCTAAGATTTTGACGGATTTCTTTATTTTTCATTTTTTGATAATATACTCAACCACCTACCATAACGTCATCACCACCACCTTACCATGACCATCCCTCCATCCCCACTACCAAGATTGTCATCATCGTCATCACCACCGTCATTGGCATGAGCATCATGCCATCATCACCACCATACCACATCATCCTACGACCATCTTTTTACTGTCGTCATCACCACAACCATGACCACCAGCCACACCACCTTTAACATGACCGCAACCTCTACTACCATCATCACCACCCCATCACTACCGCCCCACCCCAACATAGTGAATGTGCGGACAAGGCATACATGTGAGTCTTATACTCCTTTTGAGTCCAATGATATATTGCCACGTGGATTGTAAAAAAAATGTAATAAGAATAAAAAGGAAAAAAAGAAAAAGTAATAAACCCCCACCTCCCTAGCAGCTATGCAACTAGGGATGAGCAATGATTATGGTGGGCGGGTAACCGCGGTTAATTTAACCATAACCGTTTATGCTCCTACCCGCATAACCGTTTACCCGTTGGGTAATTGCTTAAACGGTTATACCCATACCCATAACCGTTTATAAACGGTTAACCATACCCATAACCGCATAGCATTTAACCGTAACCGTTTAATACATGTTTACCCATTTATCTTTTTTTTTTACCACCTTTTTTTCACTCATCTACATGTTTTTTAACAACTTGAAAATTAAAAAAAAAATGTCATAATTTTTTTTTTTTTGACAATTAAACACCACTATAGGTACACTCATCATACATTTCCATATTTTAATTTTTAAGTCCTTATACAATTCCAATAATTGAAATAATAGTTTACGGACGATATTTTTAACTGTTATTAATTAAGGTAAATATAATATTTGCTAAGTATTATTGGGTTACAAAAATTGTTTAGAAGACATTTATGTCAAAGCATTTCTTTCAATTTCACGGTTACCCGCAAGGAATTTAAGTTAATTTGGCCAATTCCTTGATGATGAGAATCATCATTCCTGTAGTAGTGTTATTGAGAGAAAAACCGATGAATTCCTTGCTAATTTATTGGGTGCTAAGTATTATTGGATCGAGAACATGATTTGTGTTAGTTTTACATATATAAAATAAATGGGTAAACGGTTACCCGTTTATAACCGCGGTTAATACCCATAACTGCCCATTTAAATTTTATGGGTAAACGGTTATACCTATAACCGTTTATTTATCTAATCAGTTACCCATAACCGTAACTGTTTAATTTAAATGGACGGGTAACTGCAATTACCCATAACCAATGGGTATTTGCCGATCCCTACCCGCAACCCACTCCCTTCCTCCTTTGCCCGCAAATATTCTTCAACACATCCGTAGTTATAACATCCGTAGTTATAACAATGGACGTACGCAGGACACGGCAAATGAAAAATCACAACGAAGAGCAACTTAATTGCCGTGGAGTCCACAAATTCACAAACAAGTGAAAAATTCTTA